CATACTGAGAAAACTGACAAAATACTTTTATTTAGTCTTCGTCTTATCGCTGACGGTTCACTGCTCAGCTGATTTGAAAAATTTCCATCTTGTTTTTGTCTACATATATCTATGACTAAACGTACTTGAGCGCTTCCCATTTGCGTGAAAAAACCGGTGAGAATTCTCCTCCAAATGGAACAACACAAATTTTCAACAAACAAAATGAGAGGGGATGAGAATGTGTATTGGATAGCATTTAAAAACCGTCCAGTGGAAACTGAGGACTGTTACATTTCATTTCAGAGCTCCATGTCTTGGCGCTGACCAAAAGACACGTGGGCTCTGGGAACGAGACAGGGGCAGAATAAATAAGTACAGTCATGTAAGGAGAATTTTGCTGATCATCAAATACATTCTTTGTATTTAGCGTGCAGCTACTCAATATATTAATTATTCCTAACGATCTTATATGTAACAGCTCTACAGATCACAGTACTGCAAGCTATGGAAACCTTTTCCTCTTCCCCTAAAGTACCCTGCGAGACTGAAATTCCCTTCTCTTTCTGCTCAGTGAAGACAAGAGAGGCACTCTCCACATAACGTACCGCCAACCTGCTATTAAGCAAAAGAGAGTAGATTTCGTTCCTTACTGCGCAAACTTGGTGACACGAGCAAGAGTTCCGTTACAAGATCGATTTTGATTATCTTTAGTGACCGGAAGTAAAAATACCACGGACTCGATTCAGCCACGTGTCTGTCAGCTAGGTCATAGGCTACAAGGTTGGAAAGAACTACGTTGTTTGCAGTAGCCTGTGAACAGGTTCCAGATTGGGGTATAGGGCGACAACAGATACCGGCGCGCAGAGTGGGCCGAGAGCGGTCTAGGCCAAGCTTGGCTCCCTTCGTTAACGGTTTTTTTTTTCTTTTGTTTTTCTTCCGCTCGGATGGAAGCTTGTTTACGGACTAAGTTTGCAGCTAACACATGCGTCTAAAATACACGTGAAGTCTGCTCCAGTCCAACAGATTGGAGAAGCCAGGTGACTAATCTGCACAGCGTTTATCTCTAGTTTCTTACATCATGAAGCAATTGGGAATATTGCTATTTCTACTTATCCATCACAGCTTACCCATCAAAACTTTTGTCAGGATGCCTTGAAAGCTTACAGGCAACCATTTAGACGCCTGTTGGAGACTGAAGGGTGACACTGTGAGAGTTAGTGAAGTGTCTTGTTCAAGGACATGACACAAACTCTGACTGGGGTTTGAGCCCGCATTGCTTGATCAAGAATCCAGCACGCAAACCATTAGGCCACCTATTACTGTCCCAAGTTTGCAAAGTAGAAACTAACTATTTTAAACAAAAATGTATTCAATTCCCCACCTAAGAGCACTTATTAACATTTTTAAGCTTAGCTATTAAGAAGTACAGCACTTAATTCTTTCAATAAGTAGTATTCATTATGTTATTCCTTATAGTTCACGCTAATTGGATTTTTTATCTTCAGCTTCTTTTTTCCGTCGTTCTTTCAGCTGTCCCCTCTTCACCACTATAAGCATTTTCCCTGCTGTCCACAACCAAAGAACCTAGGAGATATTCAATGACAATATGTGTCACTGTATACACAAGCACATTAAGTATTCTGATGATAATTTGTTGTAAGCAAATTTTAAAAAAAAATATGGAAAGATGTAAATTTTGTAGCCATTGTCAAGGATAAACAAAAGACTATAAGTCCCCAATGGCAATCAAACGCACAACCTTCCTAACAGCAGTAGGACGTTAAGATCATGTAAACTAAAGGTATCCACAGTTGAGTGTTGATCAATACCCTTGATCGACCCTTGATCGATACTCAATTGACTTCCCAATCAACACTTTGTCAATACTAGATAAACACTTGATTGACAGTCGGTCAACAGTTGGCAGAGTGTCAATCGACTCTTATGTATCTATCGACACTCAGTGGCATAGCTGCAAAAATTAGACAACTCTCGACTGACTGTTGACCGAGATGTCAGTTGAGTGTTGGGCTAGTATCTATGGAGATGTCAATTAAGTGTTAATGGAGATGTTGACTGAAGGCCGATTTAGGGTATCGATCGGTCCATAGGTTATTTACTTGTTTCAAAATTATGTATTTTGAGAAGGAGAATCATTGAATCAGTTCTTGACAGACACCATAAACTGAAAGGATCCCATCTTGTAATCATTTGCATTAGGATTTCCAATAATAACCAATTATTGTAAGTTGCTCTTTCAAGTTTAATTATTAACCTCTTATTGGATTTGAGTAAATTATACTGAAAGGAAATATAGATCAAACACCCTCACAAGACTTGAAAGAAAATTTACAACTTATTTGTGGGCAATGGTTAATTAAAATTACTTACAGTCATAATAAAGCAGTTGAGAAGTATCGGACCTGAATACACAACAGTTATAAACATCCCAGCTGAATCAAAATACTGCTCTCTGGCAAACATCCTGCAAATATAAATCATCAATAAACAGTAGATATGGATCCAATATCTCTCTTCAAATGGAAACAGAACATTCCAAAAGTAAAAGCAGCAGAATAGATCAGAAGTAATTGCTATTATATTCCTAGCTTGTCAGGAAATTATTCTTTCACCCCTAAGTCCCTGTAGAAGTACATGGAATTTGCCCACAGCCTACAGGGCGTTCACTAAGTTTTGATTCACCTGTAGCTTTGATCTTCACACCTGTAACAAACTTGTTATTTTGTGGGTGAATTGTAACATGTACTGAGTTAAGTTCATTTGTAACATCAAGGGCCCGTCAGGCACACTCTGCTGTAGCAGGTGTTACAGGTTACAGCCTAGCCTGTTCCAGGCTCTTGGTCAGTTTGGACAATCGAAAAAACGGGCATGGGACAAGCAGGGTCTACCAGACCCCACTCGTCACTCGTCGCCCAGCCACATTTTTGATCGTACCCATTGACCGAGAGCCTGGAACAGGCTAGTTACAGCCTTTTTTTAGAACCCTGGCTCTACTAGTCTACTCTGCACAACTAGGGATTAGTTGATTTAATTATGTGGAGTGCAAAGGTTGCTAGGATTTAGGGCAAGTCATGCAAAGAGTACTGGTTCAACTTAAAACAGGCTGCTAGCCTAAATAAACTTTATAAACAGGAACAGTCTTCTAAGAGTCGAATATTTAACTACCTTCCAGTCTCATTACAACATCACAGCAATCATATTGTTGCAGGGATAAAACAGCATTTTTGATGTTCTGAGATTTTAGTTTTCCTGTAGGATCTTGCTGATAGACATGGGTCCACACAATTTACCCAAAAACTATTTGAAACATTTCATGCTGTTCAACTTTTGAACTGTGTTAAGGCAATGAACAAAGCAAACAACAACTGCTCAAAAATGGCCATAAAACTCAACTGTTGATACCATAACTTGTAACTCAACCTATATTAATATACATCCCGTGATGTCACGAAGTCCAAAATTTTCCAGGCTGATAATACCAGTATATGAACAATAAGTTGCAAATTAAAAGCAGTCACACCAGTTCTTTTTGGGCCACTGCTTGCATCAGAGCACTCTAGATTATGATGATCATCGTCAACCAGAGCATAGACTTTATATTAGGGTCTTAAGTTCAATTTCTAAACAACAATGTTACTATTAACTTTGCTGGAAAGAAGCAAATCAATCAAAATATTTATTTTCATTTACATAAGATAATTATGATATTATAAGATCAATATTATGAATATTGCTTTAAGGAAATAAACTATGAGCATGTTGGGTTTTAAAAAGAAATGTCTTATCAATGGTCTCATAAAGGTAATTTATTTGACACAAAATTTTGACATCACCTTTTAATGAATAATTTCAAAACAAGGTGGCTTATACTAACCTCCAATATTTCGCTCCTAGAATATTAACTTGCTCTGAGACAAATGCCAGACCCACTAGAAACAAAAACAAAATTGAAGGAACATTCTCAATAAATATGTCTCAGACGACCAGGCAGTGTAAAGTAAAATTTACCAGTATTGGTATTTTTAAGATTAAAATTTGGAACATTAATTTACAGAACTACATTTGCAGTCTCAAAAGAAGAGTATTAATACATGTAGCTCCACTCATTCTTATGTTTTCTCTCCATGGAGAAGGGGGGGGGGGCAGGCAGAAGGGCATGTTAAAGCAATACTTTCTGGAAACAACCAAAAACCCCCTGGTTTCAATGAACCAAATCTAGCTACTCTCGAGAATCCCTGAAGCATTTAATATGGAATACATTACTCACAAGAAGATGGTGTGTATATCAAAAGCAACATGTTGGTATCAACAAAAAGTTTGATCAAATGTGAACCAATGTGAGATATTGTACATATCAATTGACTGCTGGCTCTTTCTAGGTACTTTCTTGAACCACAATTTGCAAAAGAAATGACCTAGGGTTATGAAGGAAAGGAAATAGAACAAAGAAATACACTAGCACCCACAACTAATACAATTTGTTCACAGAAAGGACATCACTTGCATGATGTTATTGTCGATTAACTTTTGTGGTGGTTAGCCTGGGAGTTTTTCCACTCAACAAAGAGACAAGCACTGAAGCGAGTAAAATTGACACTCAACCAGTTTTCTTCCTAGAAGTAGTCTACTTTATTTCTTGTTTAAATATTATTTTCATCTAATATACAGTTCAGAGTTGACAAGAAAAAAAACTCAGCTTAGGAAGAATATCATTATAACATGCAAACTGGTGAAGTGTTAGATAGCCAGTAATTCAGTTGGCTTTTTAAAAACTGACCGAGGTCAAAGTTCTTAAAACCAAAACTAAGTTGTTACAGATGTTGTTGTTAATGTTCATAAAGGTCAGTGTGGCACATAATGTTAAATTTATATTACTGATATTCATACCTGACTGCAATTCTTACATTTTTCAAATACTTTTCTCTCTACCTTTGTTATAGGAAGTTGATATACTTTTTTTTTTTTTTTTTTTTTTT